GTATTCTAAATAATGTTGATATTGTTATTCTAAATAATGTTGAGACAACTCTAGGCCCATCTGTGATCTTCAATATCCCAATTTTATGACTGTGACTTTTTTATGTTTAGGCTTCATTGATTGACTTTCATAGGTTAAATTGTGATTATTTTTATTTAATTTTAATTTCTCCAACATTTGTCTGCATTGTTCCACTCTGATGAAGAATAAGCTTCATTATAGACTTGTTGAAGTCTAATTATAAATAGCTTCAATATTATAAATAGCTTCGATTTAATGTTTTAATAGCATGTAATGAGTGCAAATAACAACTGTGGGCCCTTTTGTCAGGTTTGCAACTAAAGTGGTTAATAAACAAGCTTTCTTCTGTGCCTCTCATTTTGACTATAAGTCTGTGAAGTATGCAGTTAAATGTTATATAACACAAAGCAAGCAGCATTTCATTGACCATCATGTTTGCAGTGAACGGAGTGTCATATTACATCTCTCCCCAGCTTGGCCTCAGGGATTGATGCATTATCTGCAATCATATTTGACATCACGATTAAGAATATTTGTCCAAATAATGGAGGCCATTATGACTTTAACAAGCTCTGCAATGTGTTTCATGAATGCAAGAGGATAGTGCTACATTGATCTGCTAGTAGTTATAGCGATTGGATTAGGCTGTGTGGAAATCAATACAACTTCTGGCCGGCTTTAGAGACGAGCCTTTTTAGAGAAGCACAGACAGTAACAAAATAAGATCCCACTGCTATCATCACCCAGAGCAGATGCCTTGGTGAAATATTCAGTAATACAATCAAGGTTTCTACCATGTGAGATGAGAAATCCTACTAGGTCTGTGTAATCCAGTTTGGTGGGGATTTGGAGCCCATGCGCTTCTCATTATCTGACGGCACACACTAATGTCTGGATTAGCTCCCCTCTGCCACAACAGTAACTATTTGGCAAAGTCCATATTAACATGAGGAAAAAATACGACATCTAGCATCCCTCACTGTAACACGGTGACAGTCATCCTTGTAACATTTAGGCTTCATTGATTGGCTTCCATTTATTTGCTTGTTTTATTTGTTTGTTTGTTTAGTCTTTCTTTAATTTTTTACAATGTAATTTAATTTTAGTGTAGTTTTGCTCTAACATTTGTTTGCATTGTTCCACTATTTAATTTAATTTAATTTAATTTAATTTAATTTAATTCTATTTTATTTTATTTTATTTTATTGTAGCTACAAGTTTTGTTTGAATCATTCTACTGTACTGAAAAAAATAGCTTTAATATTTATAGCTTTATTTTATTAATTCATTTATTTATTTTTTAAGATAACTCTTTACACTATTAGTTAATGCCATTATAAACAATACTTTTACAGCAATCCTGTTTAAGTTGTATAAACCATTAGTTGTATAATAAATGCTGTGTAGTACAAACTTAGTGTAGTATTTCCATAAATGAATGAATGAAAAGTTAGGGAAACATCTTAATGGGCTTCTTACCCACAGGTGACATCTCGGGTACGCTAGCCATGTAGGGCCCTTCGAGGAACTTTGGCTCATTGTCGTTGATGTCCTGCACCTTGATGACAAACTCTGATTCTGGTTCCAGCGGTCGGTTGGTCTCGATGTCCACCGCTTGAGCTCGTAGCGTGTAGTAAGGCTTCTCCTCACGATCCAGACTGCGCAAAGCGTGTATGTCCCCGGTGATCTGGTCGATGGTGAAGATGGTTCCAGCACCATCGCCTGAGAGAGTGTATTTCACTGCACTCTCCCCGTTATCCAAGTCAGTGTGCAACTAAAGGAGACAGAAAGAGTGACAAACATGTGTCAAACAGTGGCAACGAAGATATAATTATGGATCTCTAGAATTCACTGTGGTCAAAATTATCTATAATGCGCTTAAAGTTAAGGGGACTTTCAAAACACTGTCTTTTCCCCCTAATGTATTACAAGTTGTTACAGAATGATTTTATTCAGTTAGTGGAAGAGAGCACTGAATTTAACTTAAGCATGCTAAATTAACTAAATGCTATAATTGCAAGTGTAGAATCAATGTTATATGGCAGAATACAGTATTTACACAGATAAGAATAGCCTGTATGATGTTAAACTCTGTATAAGGGCCTGGATGTTTATAATTAAATTATTTCTGACAGAAAACTTTAGTGTTTAGTCACTGACTTCACATTTCAGCATACTTAAAATATTTCTCTCTGTGTTTTTTTTTTACATTTATTTTTTATGAATTTTAATGTAATTTGTAATGAACTGAATATTCATTCATTCATTCATTCATTTATTAATTAATTAATTCATTCATTCATTCATTTACTGCAGTTATATGAATTTAGCTTTTAATTCTACATTCCAACCGGCACCCTATTTGCGATTTGCATTCAATTATCTCATAAATTCCAATTCAGTTCAATCCAATTCCATCTGAATTAAGGTGAACTGCATTTGAATGCAGTCATTTTCTCAATTATTTTATAGCATATCAGTGCTGTACAGTGTCATTAATCAAATGCATGTCTCTCATCTGAGGAAACATCAATCAAAGATTGTGCCGAAGTTGTTGAGACAGTCAAATTTAAAAAAGCTTTTGTTTTTCCCAATCTTCATAATATCTAGAGAGCACCATAAATCAGAAAGAGAGCTTAATTATCAGACTGCTTCATTGTGACATATCTGCACATTCAGAAATGAATAGAGATACGGAAAAGAAAAGGGAGATTTCCAAAAGAGCTGAAACTCAGCAATCACTCCAGTAATAACTAGAAGTGGAAAAGTTAGGTGATACTAATTAAAAAATGAATTAGCATAACAATAGCAATCAATTACACAAAAGGGATTCATGTGCCATCTGGGTCCTCGAGAAACCTCACAAATATCCATGCAGAACGAGTAAAACAATCTCTCTCTCTCTCTCTCTCGCTCTCTCTCTCTTTGATAATAAGTTCAGGAAAAATTTAACACAAACCAGACTAAGCAGCTTTTCCAGACGCTCATTATACTCTCAGAAGAAACAGTCACTCCTATTTTTTTCTAATCTGACAAGCACCGGTTAAGACAGCTGACTCCACTGTGATGTGACCCTCTCTCTCTCTCTCTCTCTCTCTCTCTCGCTCTCACTCTTGCTCTCTCTCTCTCTCTCTCTCTCTCTCTCTCTCTCTCTCTCTCTCTCTCTGTCTCTCTCTCTCTTTGATAATAAGTTCAGGAAAAATTTAACACAAACCAGACTAAGCAGCTTTTCCAGACGCTCATTATACTCTCAGAAGAAACAGTCACTCCTATTTTTTTCTAATCTGACAAGCACAGACGAGTGATAACGTGAGAAACACAGTATGTATCTACATGCAAATTTCTGCCGAGAGAGAGAGAGAGAGAAACAGCTGGGGAGAAAGAGGTTGAGTGCATACTAAGATGTCTGTTACCTGTTAGATGTGTATTCACACATTTGTGAATGATGTTTGTAATATGATTTGTTTAGGATTTTTGAACTTTTGAATACTTTTAAAGGTATTACAAATCTTTTTGAATTTGTAATATTGCATAGGCCTGCTAAAACATCACAGTAATCCAAAAATCATCAATTAACATCTTATGAAGCAAAGTTAACATATGAGTCCTATATCTATAATATTGGTTTCTCCAGTGGGAAAAGTTGTCTGAATCATTCTCATTCTGATGAAAAAACAAACTTATCTACTTATTGGATACCCTGAGGATAGAATGAGTACATTTTTCATCATATTTTCTTTTTTCTTTTTTTTTTATGCATAAAATGCATATTTTTTCTTCTTTTTTATGCATAAAATTAATATTATGTGCACTTGTTTTTTTTTTTTTGGAGATAATGCTAATTTTTGAAGCTTGCTTAAATATACTTTTTTATTTCAACAAATGGAAAGTCATCCTGCAAATGTGTTGCTTCACATATCTGCTAAACATAATCTTTGCAAATAGTGCCGTTATACAGAAAGGCTTAGACCTATTATGCTATTCTCAGCTTAAATATCACGAGTAAAGATAAGCACTGGATTTGACGTGTTATTGTCTCAGTCAACAGGTGCTGAGAGAGCAACAGTCAAATACTAGCCTCCTCTCACAATAGGGGAAATTAGAAGCCTGTTCTACCGCCTGCAGATTCAATAGGGTCCTAATATACTGGATGAATAAATAAAGGGTCTATTATCATTCAGAGCCGTAAGTGAAGAATCAGCCTTTTACTTTTTTAGCAGTCTTTTAGTGGTTACACAACCAGTAACTATTAAAGCTGTAATTCTTTCAGAGAGGATCAAGAGAAGCTTTTTAAAAATGTGTTTGCCTGATATTTGTAGTGTTTTCAAAGCCCTGACCATATCTCATTGATCTCTTAGTGTGCTTTTAGTAATGATATGTGTGGTTTATAAGCCCAGCTCTCCACATTAAATGTGTATTTAAGTGTTTAAGTGTGTGCATGATCATACGGTTCACTACATGGTGTCTGGCCAGTAATTAAATGCATGTTTGGTTTACAAAGGAAGAGTCAGCTCTATGACTGGATACTTCTTACACACCAGGACACCGAAACCCCTTGAGGACCAGCGTTCCTGCACACTCGCTGCATGCTAATATATTCAGACCGGGCCTAAACACTCAGCCGATTCAGTTAAATAAATACATTCCCCAGCGTGCTACGACTGCAAGGAGTCTGAGGAAGCCAGCACTAGAGTAATCCAAACCCGTGTGCGCGTATATGTGTTTATGGATCCGTTTATGTGTTTATGGATGTGAAAAGGCATGTGCTAGAGGATAAATATATGATTGTCTGTGTGGTACAGATCCATTAGGGGTGGGCGAAGTGACCAAAATCTTGTACCATATGTGGATTTTTTTTTTTTTAGTGTGTGTATGCATGCATGCATGCAGGGGCGTAGAATACGCGGGGGACGTGTCCCCCCCACTTTTAATATCACGTAAATTCGTCCCCCGCATTTTCTCGGGCAAGTGTGTTCGCATAGAGGTTTTCAAGAGCCGGTGTGAATAAATATAGATTTAAATTAAAAGAGACAGGATAGTCTGTGCATGATCTGATGTGTTATTCGGACCCAGAATAAGGCGAGATGAACATCGCCAAGCGCTAAACATTCTGTGAAGTGTATGTTTCCTTCAAACTCGAAGCCGGAGGGCGCTCTCGCGCAGAAAGTCGTATGAGGAAATTCCTAATATGGACAAAAGCGTCCAGCTATCGCTGTATGAAAACAGTTGTATTGTTCATGTTTTTTAAAGAAGTCTCTTCTGTTCACCAAGCCTGCATTTATTTGATCCAAAGTACAGCAAAACACTACAATTTAGAAATATTTTAATAGGCTATTTCAAATAACTGTTTTCTATTTGAATATATTTAAAAATGTAATTTCTAGTGATTTCAAAGCTACATTTTTTGCATAATTACTCCAGTCACACAATCCCTCAGAGATCATTCTGATATTCTGATTTGCTGCTCAAAAAACATTAATAATAATAATAATAATTTAAAAAGGTTTCTTGAGCACAAATCAGCATATTAGACTGATTTCTGAAGATCATGTGACACTGAAGACTGGAGTAATGA